GACTAAACAAAGCCATCAAGTTATTTCCTTCTGTACACAGCCGAGAAATGCGCAATTGTTATGATTACGGGGAGACTATTACTGGGGCACGCCGAGTTTATTTCCCAGATGTCGGGGTCACGGGGACGCGCAGCTGGAGGTGGCGGATTCCCACCACCGATCAGCGAGGACAGGACGGCTACAAAATGTCAAACGCGAGGACGTGTGCGGCGGGAAAAGAATGGCCGGCCAGAGAGCGGCGCGGGGTCCGAGGGTGTGCGGATGGGGGAGAGGGGTGGGGGGGTTCAGGATGGATCGGGGAGGAATTCTCCATTGTTTCTTGGATTTCCCTTTCCTGACATTACACTCCGGGGAACGAACACTCGCTGCCAATAACATCAGCTGGAAAGTGTAACTTCGCTGTATATACAATGTTACATCTGTAAGGCACATACTCCGCATCTGTCTGAGGATTCAACGTCGACTCAATGTAACATTTTCTCATTTATTTATTTGTCATCCGCCAAAAAAAAAGATACAAGGGAGCCAAGAAAATAAAAAAAATACTCATGTCATCCTCTCCCCCCAACTTCCACCTAAGAATTACTCATAAAGCTGAAGATTGATCTGTTTTATAGTTCCTCCCCTCCCCCCTCATCAATAATGGAATCCATATCTTATTATAGACCTATCAATGTCATCACCGAGCCCCTGTGCTTCTCTATGCAAGGAAGGATGATGGTATGAGCTATGAGTATGTCCAGCCTGGTTGATAACACATCAGTGATACATTGAAAATGTTTCAGAAAAAAACAAACCCAATTACTTATATGTTAATTTATTCTTTTTCCAATCAATTCCCTGTCAATGCTAATCAATATCTCCCCACCCGTATACCACATGCCAATAAATCCATGTCCTCGATATTGTTCATAGAGGTGATAATCAATTTCTGAGGATGTTCAATTCTGCCAGATTGACTGCCAGTCCCACCAGGTTCCATCCTTTCTTAGATTGACTACCAGTCCCACCAGGTCCCATCCTTCCTTAGATTGACTGCCAGTCCCCCCACGTCCCATCCTTCCTTAGATTGACTGCCAGTCCTCCCACGTCCCATCCTTCCTTAGATTGACTACCAGTCCCACCAGGTCCCATCCTTCCTTAGATTGACTGCCAGTCCCACCAGGTCCCATCCTTCCTTAGATTGACTACCACTCCCACCAGGTCCCATCCTTCCTTAGATTGACTGCCAGTCCCCCCCCCACGTCCCATCCTTCCTTAGATTGACTACCAGTCCCACTAGGTCCCACCCTTCCTTAGATTGACTGGCCGGTTCCACCAGGTCCCATCCTTCCTTAGATTGACTGCCAGTTCCACCAGGTCCCATCTTTCCATTGCTTGACTGCCAGTCCCACCAGATGCCACCTGTCGTTAGACTAGCTGCCCCTGTTCAACCAGATCTTAACTTTCCTTAGACTGACTGCCAGTCCCACCAGATGCCACCTTTTCAAAGATTGACTGTCAGTTCCACCAGATCCCACCATTCTTTGATTTACTGTGAGTTCCACCAGATCTCAACTTTCCTTAGACTGACTGCCAATCCCACCAGGTTCCACCCTTCCTTATACTGACTGCCAGTGCCACCAGGTCCCACCCTTCCTTAGACTCACTGCCAGTCCCACCATGTGCCACCCTTCCTTAGACTGAACGCCATACCACCAGGTCCCACCCTTTTTTAGATTGCCCTGACAGTCCCACCAGGTCCCACCCTTCCTTAGACTGACTGCCAGTGCCACCAGGTTCCACCCTTCCTTAGACTCACTGCCAGTCCCACCATGTCCCACTCTTCCTTAGACTAACTGCCAGTGCCACCAGGTCCCACCCTTCCTTAGACTCACTGCCAGTCCCACCATGTCCCACCCTTCCTTAGACTGAATGCCATACACTTTTTTGGAACGTCGTTCTGCTTTCCATTGACTACAACTTCGGGTTCAGAAAATCTGAGTTGCTAAAATGTTTTAATAAACTCCGGCCGAGCCAGAACTGATCCAACTGTTCAAACATTTGCTTCTCTCTCATTGTTCAGCTTACGGTAGATGTAAACCCAACATGAAGATATTTAGTCTTAGGCCTTGTTCACACCAAATGCAGACCAGATCCGGTCAGGTTTCTGCACACGCAGTACAGTGGGTTGTGCCGCGTTTTTGACGCGTTTTTGATCCGTTTTGGATGCATTTAGGGCCGTTTTTTTAAATTAACCAAAACCGGCCCTAAACGCATCAAAAACGCATCCAAAACGCATCAAAACGCGGCACAACCCACTGCACTGCGTGTGCAGAAACCTGACCGGATCTGGTCTGCATTTGGTGTGAACAAGGCCTTATTCTAAGCACTGCAGATCATTAATAATTGACATTTTATAAAATATGGGTGTCACCTTTTTTTGTTTTCATTATTTTTTTGCATTTTAGTGCCGCTGATGACCTGCAGCTTCCTTTAGTCACTTCCTGTCTACATGCTCTCACTCAAGTCCTTACTCTGGACCAACTTCCTGATGGTAAGAACAGTGGACCGTGCCTGTGCAAAGCCAGAACAACTGCTCATAGACTCCACTGAAAGCCCATGTGACAGGGTGACAATGCAAAGCACAGTCTGGGACGGTTGTCACCCTACAACAGGAAGTACCTAAACAAGGATCTTCAAGGGATCAATTTAATGAAAAATGCACATTTTTAAAATGACTTTTGAAATGACATTCAGGTTTAAAGCTTCTTTGAGATTCTAGTGGTCGAGTTTATATCTACTTTATCCTTCAGGCTCTTCCATCTATAAATGGAAAAGCTCTACGGGACTTGTAAACTTTACTAGAGGAGGATACCTATGGAGACGTCTGATGATTTTCACATGAGGAGAATTCCCCTGAAACCAACACAGATGTACAATTGCTGAACAGCTTTGTGATGTTAGTCCAAGAACGCGTTCCTGTTTGTCAAAGGAGGGTTGTAACACCACGTGGTGGCTACAGTTTAACTAGATGTGAGCCATAATCGGCCATACCTTCCTACATCACCTTCAGTCCCATTACATTTGTATCAAGAACTTCACCCTGGACTATGAAGACTGGCACATGGGCCATTGCTGAGCGGTCTCAGCCAATGTAGTAATTGTTAGTTGTATTGGATTGCTGCCTCAGGTTTATCTGGGTGGTTGACATTCCCTCTCCCGACATGCACATTGCTTTTATCATTCAACAGATCTAATCCACCTTGTCTCTCTTCACCGGGCATTATACTATGTGATGTTGGCAGGTCATTGGTTCCCTGGCCCCTGTAAATCCAATAGTCACCCCATTGGTCCAATATAGTCATGACTTGACAGGTTGGCCAATGTGGTTGGAACAGAGCTGGAGATATCCACAGCTAGCTTGTATACGCAGATATCTTCCAGCTGCACGGACAGGTTTCAGTGACAACATGAAGGATCTAGCTGGTTTACATCTACTTTAAATTAAATACATCATGAGAGAGAAAAATGGGTGCCTGACCTCCTTCTACAAATGCTAGTTGCCTGGCTCTCGTACTGACATTTGGGTTTCAAGGCTTTCTAAGTCACGGCAGGTCAGCTGAGTGGAAGTTAAATCAGAAGTCCTGATCTACATAAGAGATCCAGGTTAGTGACTCAGAGTTTTGAAGTTAGAAGGTCAGCAAGCCAACAATGGCAGGTCCCATGTTTCTCTCAAGGCAGGTATCTTTAAACCTCCCTGTACTCCAAACTATGTCCCTTTATCATCTACTTCAGCCTTACTCAACTAGGGTTCCTCTACAGGTTGCTTGGGGTAGAGCAGTGAGCAGAGGTGGATTGAGCTCCTGCCTGACGGTGCCATTATAGTTGTGCCACCAATATCACTTGGCAGAGCCAGAGGCATCGAACCAATGAAGTTTCTTCTTTTGTTTCTCACATATGTAACCACTGTCTGGTTGTCTGTAAGGCTCATTATTTCCAACCACTACCGACGTAAGGAGCATTTTTCCGCAATGACCACCAATGTATAGGGGTACCTCCATTGTGATGGACAGTCTTTCCACTGGCCACCAGTTTAAGGGGACCCTCACTGACCACCATTGCGGTGCGCCTAATATATCACTTTTAAGCAGGGGTTCCCTGAGATCTGAGCAGTATTTCAAGGGTTCTTCTTGGGTAAAAAAAGGTTGAGAAAGGCCGTTCTACTCAGATGTTGTGTTCCAAATGGTAGACTACAATGGGGATGGCCAGGTTATATAATAATACAACACATTTCACTTTATGCATAACATAAAAGAAGACTTATGGAGTATAGAGTGATTGTGAATGAAAATAAACCATTCAATATGGAAAGCTGGACACAATGTAAATACATCTCTCCTACTTCTGACCGTCTCAGTTTTTTGCAATTGGGTAGATAATGAAGGGTCTGAATCACACACTGGCTTCTTATATCTCACGAGATGCTGGAAAGTATTTCTACTTGGGATCCGAGCTCCTCCCGCCTCCATTTTTTTTTTATTTGGGAGAAAGACATCCTTAAACTCAACTCCAAGGAAGGGCCTTCAAGACCAGGAACCAGGCATGGAGATCCACCAGCTAAAGGCCCACACTGACCTAAGAAGCAAGTGTGTAATTAAGTCCTCCTGACTGAAATATTAATTTACCATTAAAACCATATCTGGACATCCTCCAACTCGTCATCTTAGCTTCCTTTTAGCATTCTCTGTCTATTCAGTGGAGGTTTAAAGGTCACGCATAACCTGGGCCTACCGTGGTGGTCCCGGGTTCTGTAGATATGTGTAAAAAGCAACATTCTGTTTAAGATCTGAGTTTCAAATTTTCCCGGACACACAGACATGACGCTGTATGACCAAAAATGATAATTCTCTTAATAAAATTAATAAATATAGTCCCCCCCTTTTTTTTAACTCCAAAACATAAAATAGATTTTATACATGTGTGATATTTTTAAAATTTTTTGCACATTCTGATTTTGTGGCTCGTGATGCCTGTCTACTTGTAACCAGCGATTACTGATAGATGTATTGTGCTAACATCTACCCGGGATACCCTCATTCATCACATCTCCTTTTCTGCTTGTAAACCTGGCGTGACAAATGTTAGAGTATCATTTTTTTTTTGTTGTTGTTGTTCATGTTAGAACGCTGCCGCCACTTGGCCAAACTCTGCTTAATAGACGGGCCGGCTTGTCAAACAGCGTGACCAAGAATACATTCAGGGCAGCGATAAAGCACTTAGCGTCTACTTTAAGTAAGGCTCACTGGTAGTTACCGTAGTTACCAGCGGGCTCTTCCTACTGTGAATTTCTCTAACCGCGGAGTGCCGCCTATTAGCTGGCCAGGCGTTCTCTCCGCACTTGTCTTAATGATACCGGACCACCCCAATCTTACTCTGCCTCACGTTCGCGACTGTTTAACACAAGCATCATTTCAAGGCCACTGACACAGAACCCTTCTCAAAGTTGTGTCTCACCGGCCCTCTAACCCGCAGGACTCATTGTGTTTTCACCATGCTGTGTCATGGTTGACTGCTGCTGCCGAGGGCGATCTTCCCTTTGCCTTCTGGTCGCAGGAAAGGGCCAACCCTTTAGAAAGACTTATTCCAACCTTCTGAGTTTTCAGAAAGCACTTCTGCTTGTTCACTCTTCACGCGCCGACGTTTCATCCATGCCTGGCATGGCATCCAAGCCCACCCCGTTTTGCACAGCCGAGAAAGAGGCCATGGTGTGGAGCAGCATCAGCACCAACACGCACAGCTTTAGTCTGGTGTTTCCGAGACGAGTACCTGCTGAGACCGGCAGCAGAGACGGTTTGTGATGGTACGGATGCAAGTGATGGTGCCTATGGTGGGGGTGCTGGTAGTGGCGGCTGCGGTGTTGGTAGTACATGGATTGGGAGTTCGTAGATTTGACTGATGTGTTGTGGGCACCGCTTCCCGAACTCTTGCAGGAATGCCATCGGACATCACAACAAACCGCATCTGTATTAGACATATGGTTTTCTAGCAGATCTGCTGCAAATAGAAAAGACAAAATAATTAATTCAGTAAACTTCAAGATATGGTCTATAGGAAACTCAGAGTGCAGCTGCACAGATAGTTTGCCCCTTGGCAAATATATGGTCAAACATTTGTGGAGACCTCAACATCACACCTGTATAAGCTTGCTGTACATCTATTCCAAAACCCTGGCCATTATTATGAAGTTGCCTCCCCCTTACGGCCATTGATTTGGAGTTGCCCCTGCCATGGCCATTATTATTGAGTTGACCCCAACCCTCCCCCCATAGCTATTAATATGGAGTTTCTACCCCTTCCCTTGCCATTATTATTGCGTTACCCCCTTCCAAAATGGCCATTAATATGGAGTTGACCCCCTTTGTGGCTATAACATCCTTCACTTTGGTTTTCCATAAGATTTTGGAGGGTTTCTGGGAGAATTTGTCCCATTGATGAGGTCAGGTGCTGATGTTGGATGGAAAAACCTGGCTCACAGTCACTGTTTCAATTCATCCCAAAGGTGTTCAGGAGGATTGAGGTCAGGGCTCTGTGCAGGATACCCGAGTTCCTCCTCACCAAGCTGGTCACACCATGTCTTTATGGAGCTGGCTTTGTACACAGGGGGCAGTCATGTTCAGTAGGGTTGAGGGCAGGGCTCTGTGCAGGACACTCAAGTTCCTCCACACCAAGCTGGCCAAACCATGTCTTTATGGAGCTTACTTTGTACACAGGGGACAGTCATGGGGGAACAGAAAAGGGTCTTCACCAAACTGTGACCACAAAGATAGAAGAGCACAATTGTCTACAATGTCTTTGTGGACAGCTGACCATTAGAACTCTATGAGCGTGTTGAACATCACATTCAAAAACAATGGCCATGCATATGAAGTTGCCCCTCTTTGTGGCTGTAACAAGTCTTTCCACTGGATTTTGGAGGGTGTCTGTGGGAAATTGTCCCATTTGTGAGGTCAGGTGCTGATGTTGGATGAGAAGGCCTGGCTCACATTTGCTGTTGCAATTCAGTAGGGTTGTCAGGGCTCTGTGCAGGACACTCAAGTTTCTCCAAACCACACTAGTAAAACTGGTCAAATTAAACCTCTGTCAGATTTCTATTGTGTCCCTATTGGGGAGACTATCAATAGAGTCAGGAATGGTTATCAGCCTGCAGTGTAAGCTCCTTCTATTGGCAATTGGGCTGCCTATCTAATAGACCTGATTGGCAGCCAATGGCCAACTGAAGGAGTGTACACAGCATGCAGATGATGATGCTGCTTATTGCAAGGAAATAGCTTAGTGTGGTTGGCCTGCAACAAGTAAAAAACTTTGGGATAGATTTACATAAATACTTTCTTAAGAAACGTTATAGAGAGAGACATGATGCCAAAAATACTGCAAAATACATTTAATTATTTTTTTAATGAGTATATAACTGAGTTCGGCTCAGAGAAGGGCTGCAACAACTAATCGATAATGAGAACCGTTGGCAACGATTCTCATCATCGATTAGTTGATTTCTGATTAGTTGCCACCGCTCTGCTCCTCCCCGCTGGTGTTGGCTGCAGCGGTCTGTGTCCCTTTCAATATCCACTGCAGCCGGCACCAGTGGGGAGAAGAGACTGCAGTGACTCTGCAATGCCCTGCTGCCCCCCCTGTTCCACCATTGCCCGCCTCGTTCCTCCTCCTCTGCCCGCCCCGTTCTTCCTCCTCGGCCCGCCGTTCTTTCTCCTCTGCCCTCCCCATTCCTCCTACCGTGCCCCGTTCTACATGCCGTGCCTTGTTCTGTGCCCCGTTTCTCCTTCCGTGGCTTGTTCTATGCCCCGTTCCTCCTGCCGTGCCCCATTCTACCTTCCGTGCCTTGTCCTGTGCCCCTTTCCTCCTGTCGTGGCTTGTTCTATGCCCCGTTCTGCCTGCCGTGCCCCATTCTACCTGCTGTGCCTTGTTCTGCACCCTGTTCCTCCTCCTGCTGTGCCCCGTGGCTCCTCTGCCCCCCCCCCCCCTCTTCTGCTGCAGAAAGCCGTTGTGTTCTGGCATCAAGTCTTCCATCCAGCGGCTAAGAGCAATAGCTAGTCTGCTATTGGCTATTTTAAGTTGCAGTAGCCAATAGCAGGCTGGCTATTGCACCCGCCCACTGCCTGCTGTCAATCAGCAGAGGAGGACCTGAAGGAGAACTCCAGAAGCAGATGGATGTCTGTGAGGTTCAATATTCTGTTCCAATAGGTAATTTATTCATTTTCAGAAATCACACAATTTGTGGGCTCAGAATCTTTTTCCCTTTGGGAACCTTTCCCCATTTACTCTTACCAGAACAGATGAAGCCAGGTAATCCTCCATATATTAGGTCGTCATTGTCAGGTAGTATGAAGGGACAGCGGGTTTGCACCTCCAGGCAATACTGCTTGCAAGGAATGCCGTTGCGACACTGTCGTTGTGTTACATTGAAATACTCTGAGCACAGCCAGGCTTTGTAGACAGCCTAAGGAGACAGAAGGAGAGAGAGATGTCGTTACAGAGTAATAATGAGCAATAATCTTGTAGGCATCAATTTGTCTTTTTGTAAAAACAGTTTGTATGCACTATGACCACAGGACAGCTGACCATCACACCTCTATGAGCTTGTTGGGCATCCCATTCCAAAACCATGGCCATTACTATGGAGTTGCCCTCACCTCCTATTGCCATGTAGTTGCACAACCCCCATGACCAATAATATGGAATTGGCCCCTATTTTAGCAGCTATAACATCCTCCACTTTTCTGAGAAGGCTTTCCACAAGATTTTGGAGGGTGTATGTGGAAATTTGTCCCATTAGTAAGGTCAGGTACTGATGTTGGATAAGAAGACCTGGTTCACATTCCAAATCATCCCAAAGGTGTTCAGTAGGGATGTAGTCAGTGCTCTGTGCAGGATACCCGAGTTCCTCCACACCAAGCTGGTCACACCATGTCTTTATGGAGTTGGCTTTGTACACAGGGGACAGTCATGTTCAGTAGGGTTGAGGTCAGGGCTCTGTGCCGGATACCCGAGTTCCTCCTCACCAAGCTGGCAGTGGTCACACCATGTCTTTATGGAGCTGGCTTTGTACACAGGGGACAGACATGGTGGAACAGAAAAGGGTCTTCACCAAACTGTGACCACAAGGCTGGAAGAGGACAATTGTCTACAATGTCTTTGTATGATGGAGTATTAACAGAACCTTCACTGGAGACACCTGAACCCCATCAATGGGAGAGGGCGGTCCACATATTGTTGGCCATATGGTATGTAAATGTCAGAGGTCCAATGTACCGCTAGATGGTATAACTGCCTGTGAGTGGCCCACATCAGGCCTGTGCCCAGTCTTTGCACATTAAAGTATTTTTTAAAGTAGAAACACTTCACAACCAGCCCTTATTCACCTCTGTAGCTATAGGCATTGTGAACAAAGTCACTCCATGAGTGGAGGAGTCCTTATTGAAAGCAACGGATAAGAAAAAAAAAGAGTTGGGAAGCTTGGTCGCATGACCTGGGGGTAGGGGACATGATGGGCAGCTGGATTGGTGAGTATAGAACCTCTTCTATGGCAGGGGGCTTTCAGCCTCTGACAGGGTCACTTTAAGCGTGCAGGTTGCCAGGAGCTGACCGCTGAACTGTGATTGGAACCCTGAGCTGCGATCACATGACCTCCAAGTACCATTCCCCATTTGGCTGTGGTATGGCAATTAAATCCACGTTGGCGCACACGTCCGTGGCTCTCGTTTCTATCGCTCGCGGCGCTGCGCAGTGTTAAGCTTCCATGTGCTTAATTTTGAGGCAGTTGATTGGATCTTAGATGTTAAGTATCTCTTCCTTGGAATACAAAGTATAAATCAAGGTCAGGACATTAATAGCTCGCTGATACATTGGCAGCAGAAGCAAGAACAGATTATTACAAAGAAGCAACTGCAGGGTTTGCAGACTGAGCTCCAACCTCACCACTTTCTATTTCATCATCTCCAACAGTAAAGTGTATATCCGGCCTAAACATATTTGAAAGTTTTGGGTAGAGTTAGCAACAGGGCTGTCCCTATAATGAGACTGTTGCATCAGGTGGCATCTCTTTCGGTCACGTGGGGCAGTGGCATGGCCGATCTGCTGCCCAATGTTTGCAGAGCCTACCAGGTTGGGCCATACTTATCTCCCTGCCCAGCTCTTAGCAACCTGGGATGCTCTGGCTGGCATCCTGCCCAGCTCCTGGCAACCAATGACTTCAGCCGGTCGGTGTCTCTCTCCTCCCCCCCCCCTCCGCGCCCGCCCAGCGTCGGTCACTGTCTCTCTCCTACCTACCCCCTCCGCCACCGCCCCCCCAGCGTTGGTCACTGTCTCTCTCCTCTTAGGGCCTCTTGCACGACCCCCAGTTTAAGAAGCACTGCTTTACATTACATTTGTGAGGGCGTACCTCATGTGTCCAAGCTACGTTACCCTGTCACCAACCACCCCAATGAATGAAAAAAAGCTTAATACATGTAACAAAGGGATAAAAGATCAGAAGAACATACTTTCCGTCCACCGCTCCTTCTAGGACGGGGTGACTTCACTGACCGCAGGATTCTAGGAACGCCGAGGATCTAACATGAAGTCCTGACCTATGCTGGGGACCTTGTGATGAGACCCAGTGACCTCCTCTACAGGAAGTGGTTGGATACCTTGGCTGTGGATAGTGATGCTTTGTACTTTTATTGCATTTGTTTTTGTTTTTTTATGCAATGTCGGGGAAGAGAAGCATTCCTTCCATTTCCTGTAAAGTCCACTTTAAGTGTTTAAAGGAGAACTATGAGCTGAGTGAAAATCACTCATCCTCATAGTTCGAGCCGACGTGTGACAATGAAACTGTCACAGGTCGGCTCAGTAGATCGGGAAGTGAGCGAACACATACCGTCGCTCGCACAGTTCTCGATCATCTCCCTGCAGAGAGCTGTGACTGTCACTCACGGCTCCCTGCATGGATTCCCCCCTCCCCGCTCCGATCCTCCAGCGCTGACTGGCGGAACGGGCGTGGGAGGGGGCGAGGACAGCTGGCTCTGCTTCTAGATAGGCAGAGCCAGCTGTCAATCCCGCAGCTGGGTGGATCTCGACAGTAATGTCGGGATCTGTCCCGTCTGCGGCGGTCTCAGTATACCGCGAGCTGTGTCCTCCCGTGACCAAACACTTACCCATAGTTCTCCTTTAAATAAAGCCCTTCCACATGTTGATGGAAGCAGGAAGTGCGGCCATGACCACGGAGGCTTCTTGTCCATGCAAAGAAAACCTGCACAAATGTTAGTTCCCAGAAAAAGCATGTACCCAGTGAAGTTTGTACTCCTGATTCACATAATTGTTCCAGGTCATTGACTCACACCTTGAAGGCCAGGCAGCTAGCATTTTCCTCAGTACAGGGTTACTTCAACAACAGGTAGCTGTACACCTATAGGGGGCACCTTATGGATTCCACCTAAAATCAATGACTATCCATTCTCTAATTTATATATAGTCAATATAGGCACAGAGGTAAATTTTTTTAACATTTTCTAATGGTGGTGTGCCTCGTGATTTTTTTCATGAAAAAAGTGTGCCTTTGCACAAAAAAGGTTGAAAAACACTGCTCTATCACTATGAAAAGAGGTGACACAGTGCCACCTAGTGGGCAAATTACTAACTGCGCCACAAAGACCTATTTCACCTGCAGCTTGGTAGTTACCCGGCAGAGACAGGCGGCCCACACGTGGACTATTCTTCAGCTCATGGAGTCATGGAATAAACAGATGTGAAAACTCCCGAGACAACCCCTTGAATCAGGACGCATCAACGGCGGCGTTTGCACAGCTGGTTGCATCGTTTGCCTCCCAGCGAGTTCCTCCTGGGTGGGGCCAATGTGGAAAAGCTGTGACTTTCTATTAACTCAGACGGAGTCCCGCCCTCTTCAGGTGGAGGGATTTTAACGTACAGAGAGAGGAGCTCCATGGCTCCCATGTTATAGATGGAGGCAGCTCTCTTTTGCAAAATTGCCGCCCGCCCACCCCCAATTTTTTAACACTACAAAACTCCTCCACTGCCACCCCCTGTGTCCTCTGCTGCTCTTCACTTCCCACTTCCAGTCAGCCTCATTCAACCCACTTCCTGTGAGCTCAGGCTGTCATGGTCCCGCCCCCCCCTGGGAGTAAGTCATCAAGTAGGTTGGGCTCAGCGTTTTACCCACAAGTCCTATATGTGGGCGGGACCAAGTTCCGCTGTCAATCAATGCTATGATATGTCCCATTGGGTGTTGACACCTGACGGGGCGGATCATACCGTTGATTGGCAGCAGAGCCTGACTATCACAGCCATTGGCCGCAGGGCAGTGCGCTTACATCAGGATGACACGGTGACACGCGCAGGAGCCGATCACAGACACTCAATGCTCATGTATAAGTGTCATTCATGGAAACATGCCCCCCAGTATACAATACAGTTCAAAGTGGATCTGTCATCAGAAATATATTCTCCATGATGAGTAATGTGTCATGTGACCCCTCCAGGTATTTATGATCCCTCACAGAGATCACATGACTTCCCCTGACAATGCCTTAATCTGATCTCCTCTCTAGAAGGGCAGCACCATTTTTGTTCAGCCTTCACCCAGGGTCACCATCTACTTCCTGGACTGAGATGGCGGCTCAGAGAGGGCACAGTCATGTAAATCCTTGTGTGCAGTTCTTGGCTGTGTTCACAAATGTCTGACACAGATCAGCCAGCTGCTGCAGCCTCTCACGTTGTGACTGGTGACAGCTGCTCCTCCATAGATACGGTATGGTCAGTGAGTGTTGTCAGGAAGTGTGTTACTGGCAGGCTCACCGGGTGAAAATAAAGGAATAACAGTCTAAAAAGATAAAATTAATGCAGCCACCATGTGTAAGGACGGGGGGGGGGGGGCACATTTAAGGACT